CCGCAAGAGACACGATCAGACGGGGACCGGCTGCGTTTAGGGGCTGAATTACGCGCAGGTATTTCCGGTGTGCGTGAAATAGTTATAAGGGAGGGGCGAGGGAAATTGTTTGCGATTTTTTCTCTTTTTTGAGGTTAGGAATACATAACCTTATGTATTTGGGAATAGGAATACGAATATTCCTGAGTTTGTTATTTTTGAGGTTATGGAGAGATTCGTATATTGAGGAATTTAATATTTTTAAGTTTATGTATAAGTTATACATATAAAGAGGTATTATAAATCTATAAAAAGGTTTATAAATAAACATTTTTGAGTTTATTAACAGTTTTTAGATTTTTTCAGATGATAATTTAGATGATTTGGATAATTATGATCATTTCTGCAGAAAAACGTAAGGGATAAATTTTATTAAATCTATTTTTCGTAAATTTCTCTATTATTAATGACAGAATATAATTAATCGTCAACTTCCTGGAAAAAAAATGATTTTGATGGAATAAAACAAGAATTAATTAGTAATTAGTAATTAATATCTATTATTGAAATAAATGCATAATTTTAAATTTTACTTTCTTCTTTATAATTCACAAAAGTAAAAATAAATGATCCTAATTTTACAATAATCACATATTAAACCGCAGTAAACTAATAACCATATTGAAAGACAAAATTATTATCTTTTTATTGGATTATTTTCTTAATCGCAAACACTTTTTTCTCTTCGTAATTCGCAAAAAGAGAGAGATAACTACGCTTACTTTCTCGATAGGATCGCATCAAACAATTAATTAGTAACCACAGGAAATCTGAAAATTATAGAAAATTAGAGAAATCTTGTTAATTTTGTAACATTTCATTCGACAATTCAACAGTAACAAGAACAAATAATCCTAATTTCCAATGAAAATCACATTAAACCGTAATCCCCTACTAATTACCCAAAATCCCAAAATTACAGACACCAAGTACATGAATACGAAATTTAACATAACACCAAACACGCTCTAAATAATACACCACAATCCGTCTCCCCCTATCACCATAACCAAATGACTTCCTGTCGAATTTCATTCACCTCATAACCTTCTCCCGACCCTCATTCGCTACAGCACGCATCAACAACACGATCAATTGGCCGGCCGAGAAATTTCTCGAAAACGAACTTAATATGCAAACATCGAATTTCCAGGCTACGGATCGCGGTTCAACACCTTTCCACGATAAAAAGTTCGCCCTGAAACACGTCCCTTTGGCCGTGGCCGCGGAACAGCCTGTGGCGGAGCGCGCCACGGGCAAGAATACATACATCTTAATAGGAATAGAGAACAGAGGGTGAGCTCTCGTGCAAAATTTATTAAAACCCTCCTGCCTCTCTTACTTCGTCTGGTTAACCGTTCAGAAAGCGGCGAGCGTACGTGAATTAAAGGCAACGACGACACGGTGAACATGTCCTATACCCGACGTGTCAAAGGGACGGCTCCGACGTGGGGGTTAACACGGTTAGATCCCGGCCCCGTGAAGTCGCTCGAGGGTAATTAAAAAGAATGACCACGAACAGCCTGACTAAATTGAGAATTCGGTGGCGAAAGTGGCCTGGAGTCGCGCAAACGCTGATCGATCCACGGCTATGTGGGACAATCGTTCTTCTTTTGGGTTCAACGTCCACTTCTAAGCTGTTATGACACGTAAGGGTGGATTTCGGCGTCAAGGATATGAATTCTTACGTGGTTGTGACGATATGTGAAAATAATGAATTGCACTGGGAATTATTGAAGTTATTGATAAGTAGGTATGCGAATTGTCGGTTGAAAGTATAGGGGTTGATGTATAAACATGAAGATAAATAACGAATGATTTTTCAGAGATGTTTATTATTATATTTTTGAATTGCATGCACGTTGTTCCTACTTCTATTTTTAATATTTTTAATTTTCTAATTTCAATCATATTTTATAATTGAATTTTTATTTTATTTATTCCAATTGTATTTAATATTTTAGGATGCCAAAAACAGGTTTTATTTTGTCCTCGGCTTACAGAAATAATATGTGTATGTTAATATTTTCAATATTTAATACGGTTAGTTACATGAAAAATCATTTTTGAAGTACTGTTATGTATTTCTAACGTATTAAGCTAGTCACTTGAGTTCGATTTTTTAAATGATAATTTCTAATACAAAAATTTTTATTTTTAATATTATTAGAATTATTGTTATTTTATTATTAATATTAAAATTTTTATTTTATTTATTCCAATTATATTTAATATTGTAGGATGCCAAAAACAGGTTTTATTTTGTCCTCAGCTTACAGAAATAATGTATGTATGTTAATATTTTTAATATTTAATACGGTTAGTTATATGAAAAATCATTTTTGAAATACTGTTATGTACAATATTTCTAACGTATTAAGCTAGTCGCTTGAGTTCCATATTTTAAATGATAATTTCTAATACAGAAATAAGAAATTCATGAAATATTTGTTATCATTAGAATGTTTTAACGGAGTAATAAATTTATGAGATGTACTTATAATTTAAGAAAGCAAATTTGTTATTCAATCGATTTTATCGAATCTTTCAAAGAACTTGAAAACTTGGAATGTTTCGTTGCTTTATTTGGGTGCTTCAATATATTCAGCCAATAGTGGAATTCAAGCAATGAATACGACTATAAACACAACACATATATTTCACAACGAATATACTTAGGCTATATGCAGCATTTTATAAGGATGATTTATGGCAGAATGAAAAGGAGCCAAAGAATACTATGCCAAATTTTGTGCAATAAATATAAACTTAACCGAATATTTAAATAATAAGAACCTATATTTAATACAGAACTCTTTTATCATAAAGTGAAGATATTTCTAAATAAGGTATAATTCCGATAATTAATTTTATTTCCTAACTTTAATTATATTTTTGGTTTTAATAAAATAAGACATGTCAAAATATTTCACACAAATAATAATAACAAATAATAAATTTTCACATAATTTCTTGCTCACTAGTTTTTAATCTTAATAAATAGATATTGTTAAATATCTTTAAATGACTGGAATAATATCTCTAAGTGGGTATTGTTAAATGATTTTAATTTAAATTTTTAATCGTATGAAGCAAACAAATATTTTTAACATTTTTGTCAGAAAATATTTAAAAAACGATATACAAGTACTTTAATTTGTAATATTAATAAAGCACATCTACTGCTAATTAATTAAAAAACTATTAAAAATATGCAAAGCTTAAAATCACTGAAACGATTTTGCGTGTCGTATTAAAACCGAGAGATTATGCTCGAAATTTTCACGCCGGAAGAAATCGAAATACGTAAAAAGCGATTCATTGTTTTAAATCAAACAAATGCAAAATGTAGCTCTTTTTTCATAAAATAGATATAAAATAGAACGTGTTATTCGTATACATATATCTCGTGGCACATACACGTAAAAATGAACAATATATTTCAACAAATTTTTCTATAAAAATATTTAAACGTCTCTTCAAATAGCACATACTAAATTAATGTATATTCCTCGACATCGATATAAAGTAATATAAGTCGAATAATTCCATCTATAATAATAACAACTTTTATTTAGGAAGTAAATATTTTATTCCAGTGTAAATTTACAAAATATGATGCTTAATTATAGTACTCGTATATACTCCATGTGTACTTACTCCATTGGGATTCATGTAACTTCAAGGCAAATTTGCATTTCTTCTTTTAAAAGAGGAGAGTTAATTAATCTGTAATCACACTTCAGGTAACGAGCAAATTAATTAACTCGAAAGTACACTGGGTATAATAAATTATTTTCCATTTGCTGTTATTTATCCGTATCGTTAAACCCCTTCCACACTCAAGTATGCGGATCTGGTTACAAGTCTAGCGGCGCTTGTTCCGATAATGGCATAATGGAATAATGGACGTCAAGTACAGTTGGAATCTGAATGATATTTCAGCGATGGATATCGTTGGACCCCGATAGATTGCGGAATTCGGAATCGTATCAGCTTGCGGTTAACGCTTAGTTCTATCCACCGTTTCCGGTTTTCACCCCATGCCCATCGAATGTGAATTTAATACGTTCCATGTCGCTCAGAAAGTAATTTCAGAGAAATACAAAAAAGGGTATCTTCATATTTAGTATGCTGATATTCGTGCATTAAATAAAGCTTTATTTGCTTCTTAAGTACAAAATATCTGGAGAGATGACACTCTCTCGATAGCGATTATCTAAGTGTAGGATAAAGTAAGTTAAATAATAATATAATAATGAAAACTGGTAATGTAAGAGTGAAAAATAAAGAAAGATTAAATTACTGATTTTTATATTTACTTTTACTCCTGCATTTAAGTAGGCTCAAGCATTAAGGATAGCAGATTTTATAACAATGTAAATGAAATAATGAACATACTTATTTAGCATACATATAAATTTGCAAAGGTATGAATAATATGAGATATTTGTTTCGATGAAATACAGAATATTATTATTAATGTATGTAATAACACATTAGAAATACAATTTAAGGAAAGCAATTTGATTATTGTAAAGTTACTAATAATTTAAGAAGCAGAGTGTTTTGTTTATTATTCTGTTTAAAGGATTTCTTTTTCAAATTTTATCTCTATGATTTCAGTAATCCCATACGTTAATCAAATACCTAGTAATATAAAAAAAATGGCAAAGAAATGATAAAATATATCGAACCATATAATATACTTAATCTAAATAATAAGTAAAATGTAAACGTCTTTATTCTTCTAAATAATATAAATTTTAGAAAGATTAAATTAGAAATTATTTTATAATTTCTTAATAAAACTACAATTATTTATAACCATTAAACTGATACGAATAAAATGTCTACTTAATTTTTACTATCATTTAGAATAAAATAATTAATACCAATATTACATTTTTAATCTCCCTGCTACAGAAAATGTACATACGTACATACACGTTTAGGTACCTAACCTCTTTAATGTTCTCCGGTTTTCTGAAATGCAGTACCTATGGAAAACTTTAATTTATCGTCACTATAGGAACATTTTGATTCAAAATGAAACCAAAAGATATGCAGGTCATAGTAAGTGGAAAAATATTAAAGATATTAAGGAGTCACAAGATAAATTACGAATGACGACATTTAGAATGCTAGCAGGCAAAATGAGAGCAGTGGTAGAACGTACGTTTTTCACATGTGAAAAAGAAAATAAAAATTTCCTTATATTTGAAATAGAACTTTAAAGTAATTTTACTGTATTTAAATAAGACAATAATAAGTTTAAATCATAACAGTAATAAAATTTATTTTTTTTATAGAAACTGGTGATGCAGATCCAACAACTAATTACAAATTAGCAAATTTAATTGCAGAATCAAAGAAAGTTTATATGCCTGCAGCTACACTGAAAACAATTTTAGACAGATTAAAAAACCCTCCAAAAGGTGACACTCATGTAGTTACGATTTGTCCCTCTGTAAAAGGAGTTATACTTGTTGTCTATTTTGTAACTAACAATATCTCAAAAATAAAACCAATTATTAATAATTTGGTGAAAAGGTTTAAGTGAGTAATCTTTCATAATTTAATGTAATATTTATTTTCTGATATATAGCTAGTCATAAAATAAAACATACATTGTTATTAAACCTATTTCATAAAGCAATGATCCAAAACGTACCTTGGATGTTTCAAGAATGATTGCTCTATAATGTATTCGCGTTATAAACATATTTCTAATGTGTGTGTAGATATAATTTTGTGACTAGCTGAACATCTACCATAATATTAAATTATACTAATTTGTGTATAAATTTTAGTGCTAGGACTGTAGATAACAAAATATTGTTTAGTACATTTGATTGTGCAAGTTACATTACAGTTTCAAAAAATTGTAATCTGAATCAAGCTATGGAAGATGCAATAATGATAGATGCGCAAGATGTAGAAGAAGTAAATAATGATGACAGTACATATTTTATGGTATAAAAATTAATTCTTATAAATTTCTTATTATTTTAATGTTCTTTGTCTGTATTGTTATTTTTTGCAGTTTAAAAGTGAATTTCTTCATCCTGAAAAGACTAAAACACAATTAGAAAATCTAGGTTATACTATAGTTTCAATAGAAAATAGAGCTATTCCTTTGGCTGTAACTGAATTAACTGAAAAAGAATTAGAAAGTATAGCCAAATTTAAAGAGAAACTTGAATCAGAATTAAATGAAATTGTTAAAATAGATGACAACATTAATCTAAGTTAAAATAGGATAGAGTTAACATATAATGATGTTACCTACTAATTTTTAAATTCTTTTCTGTAAGTAGGTATTAAAAAATAATTGTAATGATAAAAAACCATAAATATATTTTATTATTATTATTTATGTTCATAAAATATGTTCTGATTTTACAAAATATAAATAAAAGAAATTCTGTATATTTACAGAAAAGATATTATTTGATAATAAATATTGTTACAAAACGTAAATTTTGTATTTATTATACACAAAATGTGTTAATTTATTTTACATTTCACTACATATCAGCGCCATATCCTTTTATTTCATGAATGTTAGAACCTGGAAAATCCAAAACAGAGTTACTTTGAAATAGAGACATTAATAATTTTTTTGGCATTCTAGTGTTATGATCCCAAGTTCTTTGAGTCCATGTAGTATGAGATGTTATATTATTAAACCTGTTTGGATATGTACTTGTAATTAAATTATTTCTTGGTTTTTCTGTTCGTTTTGAGAATACTCTAACGCGTGTGGAAATATTTACAGATTTATTTATTAATTTTTTGTGTTTCGGTTTTTCTACATTGTTTGTTTCATTTTCATCTTTATTCTTTGTATTTTCTTTATCAGAAACCTCTTTTTCTTCTTTTATAATTATTGTTTCGGGCTTAAGATCATTTACATTGTTGTTTTTGTTAACTTTTTTGTTTTCCACTTTCACAGTTTCTGATTTCATCTTTTCTGCCTCCAAATTTTCCATAACTTTTATTCCAGAAACGACATGTTCATCTTTTTTTAAGTTTGGTTCAATATCTTTGATTTTATCCTTTCTTTTCTTTTTTTTACTTTTAGAAATACTCTCTTGGTCTTCACAAATTTCAGATTTGACTTTCTTACTATTTATTTCTGAAATTATTTCTTTTCTTTCTTCTTTATCACATTTATTTTCAGTAACAATTTCTATTTTATCCTTGTGTTTTTTCTTTCTTTTCTTATTACTTGAAATATCTGGAACCATGAAATCATCAAAAATATTATTTTCCACTTTAATACGTTTAATTTCTCTTTCATTTTCACATGCTTTTTCTTCCTCTGGTGTTTCTATTATAGTTTCTAAATTTGACCAACTTTTTCTTCTTTTTCTAGATTTGTTGGTTTTACATTCATTAATTTCATTATCATGTATTTCTTCAGATGTTTCTGCGACATTCAAAGCTTCATTAACAAAACCATATGATATTGAATTATTAACATTAGCATTAAGTTTCTTCTTTTTTTTAGCTTTCTTATTTTCAACTTCAAATTTATCTAATGTAATTTTATTTCTTTTCTTTTTTACACAATCAGTACTATATTCTACATGATCATTAAATGTTACTCTTTTCTTATCATTTCGTTCATCACTTAAATCTAACGCTGTATTTGTAAGACCAAACTGTACTCTAGATACTTCAAATTCTTTTCCATTACAGACTTCATCAATTTGACATTCTAAATTTAATCCGGCATTTACAATTCCGTTTTCATATCTGTTTTCATTTATATTATCTTCTTTAAGTTTCTTAGCTTTACTACTTAAACTTGATCCGTTATCAAATTTTTGCTTCTTAAAGGATTGAGATATACTAGTAGAATTTAACACAGTTTCAGGACTATTTAAATATGCACAAGGATTTTCAAAAGCATAATTACAAACACTTTCAGGTTCCTTACTCTCCTCATTATTATCAAAATTTACTTTTCCAGATATTAATGTAAATTCGAATCCAACATATTCAGATTCATTTCTTGTACTATTTTCCTGTTGATTTTTATTCCTAGATTGTGAAGAAAAATCTTGTTCTTTTTTCATAAAATATTCAGTCATGTTGCCACTATTTATGGTAATAACACCACCTCTGTTATCCTGAATATCAGTTGGTTTAAAATTTTCCTCGTTTTCATTCTGTTCACCTTTATTGCTTATATTTATATTTAATTCTTTTTGGCCAAATATATTTGCCAAATCTTTTGAACTATATTTATTTACATCTTTCCCCCTTGTAAACTTTTTATAACTAATAATAGCAATAATAATACAAACAAAGTATGAAACATTTATATATATCTTGTTATATTTAATACATTATATACAATACTTACTGAACACGAACACGGCTTTCTTTAGATTTTAACTCTAGTGACTTTCCACTCAAGGCACCTTTACTTTCATCTGTATGCACTATATTAAGAGTTTCATCTTGTTGAAGCTTTTGTAAAATGTCATTAAAGTTATCTTGATGCTCTGTCCATGCTTCATTTAATTTATCTTTTTTAAATCCAATACCTATGAAAAACAAGTAACTTCTATTTTATTAATAGCATTAATAAAGTAAACAAAATATTATACCATATTATTTCACAAAATTAATTCTCAGTCGTATTGACCAAATAAACAAATCAAACATGAAATTATATAAATATGTCAATTAAAAACTACTTTACCTACTATAACTATTATTGAAATATTTTAATGATAATAAATTATATTAGGAATATTATAAATTATAACGATAAAAAAGAACAGTGAAATTCTTCATGTAATAATTTTTATTCCATTAAATATTCTTCAATTTCATATCTAGGTTAGTTTCTACATTAGTATTATTAGGATGACTTTACAAACTCTTACAAACAAATTACTAATTAACAGGAAATAGAATTTATATCCAATTTTTAAGTACATTTACCTGCCATATCATTTTTAAGAGATACACGAACGTGTTCCGTTATACCCTGTTCATTTGCGCCGAGTCCTTTGCCGCTTGTCCAGCCCATTTTTTCCAACATTCTCTGCCCAAATTTACTCGAATCTACAAAAACATATAAATGTCATTAAAAATTCATTAAAGATATGTCATTATATTACATAAAAATTTTTACCAACCTTCGGTCCATTGTTTTCCGCGAGGGTTTAGTGACCACTTTTGTTTCTGTCGCGGCTCCGCTAACATAAACATGTTATTTTAAATTTCAAAGTAACAACTAATTAAAAATAGGAATACACCATATATTAGTATATCGTGAGAACTTTCCAATAATTAATTTAATTACTATGGTACTCTTTTCCATTAAATTTAAAAAAGAATAAACATTATATCAAACATGCTTACACGACAATGGCGCAAACCACACTACCTTATTTATGGCGCTTTATTAAACCGCGTTCACAATGATATTTAAATTTAAATTTTAAACATACCTTTTACGACTTCTTCGAAATATACTCATTTTAATTAATTTATACATATATAATTTGGCATAATTTTTTATGCTTTTATTAAATATTATTTAATAATGTTACCAAATTAAGTATGTAGACCTATTATGACATTATATAAAATTGGACTAATTTAAATATTATTCTGCTTGCAAAATACTTTAGTCCTCCCAAATGAAAATATGCTATGAAAGAATGCAATAAGTAATCCAATTGCAATAAATTTCATATCTGTATTAATTTTATTTGAAACGTATTTCGATTAGTGTAGATTAATGATTAAACATTTTATTTAAATAAATAATAGATATTTTTTCATTATTATATTTATTATTATTAAATATAATCATAATTTCTGTGAATATGGATAAGTATTGTACATATTGCACAGTGTACATACATATATCCATATATCAATGAATTGGTTAAATAAATATTTTATAATTATTCCTTCATTTATCTTTAGTTTATTTGTAACTCAGTGGTTGATATAATGACGTGAGGTATACAACTTTAAATAGTGTAATCAATTATTAACAATTCTAAGATTTTTTTATATTTCTTATATAAACTTATATTGACTTGAAAATTAATATTATTATAATATATATAACCTGTTAGCTTCTTAATAATAATTTAGTGAACAATTAATTATGAAATATTGGATACCATATTCTTCAATTAAAAATTAACTAAATAAGAAAATAATTAATCACGAAATGTTAGTAATAAACACTTAATTAAAAATTTCTTAATAAAATATCAGCAAGGTAACAAAATAATTAATCATAAAATACCAGTAATTAATATTCGTTTTTTTATTACGTTTCTTATTACAAAATTAACGACATAATTAATCGTGAAACATTAATAATCAACATTCGATTTTAAATTTCTTAATAAAGAATCAACTTAATAACGAAACAATTAATCACAAAATATAATTTTCTTTTACTATTAAAACGAAACATTTAACCCTGAAAATAATAGAACGTCGTTTTTCGAAACGCAAAGTTTGAGGCAAGATTTATGAATTTCGCATAATTCTGCGCTATAATTACTTCGATTTTACGAGGCTGGATCAGACGTACAACTATTTTGATCTCAACTTTAGATACAAAGCGCGTCAAGGCTAAACTTACCCAATCTTGCACGTGTTTGCCTTATCAATTTCCGTTCAATGAAACGAATGCATCTCGATAAATCGAGAAAAACACTTCGAATAACTCAAGATCGTGTATGCGGAACGAGTTTGAGATAGAGCATACGGTAAATTTATCGCCTGACGCGTTTCATTTTAATGGCAATTATGGTGTCTTCGTTTCTAACAATTGGATATTAAATTGTGAATCTAAAATTCAAATAATAATACGATAAATTGATTAACCGAGTTTTTAATTTAAACGGATCCTTTGAAATAAATTAAAAATTATAAACTAAGAAGAACGTGTTGATATTTTAATAAATTTTCACGATGTCAAAGAAGGTTGCATTAAAGAGTATACTATAATTTGAAGGAAGAATGAATGCAGCTAAATGCAACCAAACTAAATATTATCGACATTTTTATTTATTAACGCTAAATATTTTATTTATATAACATTCAATGCAGCTTAATTCACAAAAATATTTTATTTACTGGTTTAACGCTTATATACTTAACAAATGCACAAAATTGCACAAAAGAAAAATAAATGCATTCAAGCTAAGACCTGAATCTTATCTTTTCTAAGTTTTTATTTAATTTAAATTTTTTATTTTTAAATTTTCTGAGTATTTTATTTATTCTGTTCTAATTACTTTTTAAAATACATTGCGATATTAACGTAAAAATAACTTCGGCTAAAAGCAAATGTGTTATTTTAATCGAAAATTCAATTCCTTTTAACAATAATTTCTTTTTTCCTTCGTTATTTATATTTTCTTATATATCCGTTATTTACTAATGATTCTTTCGTTGGGTAAGCCATCGCAGTTTGCGAAGATATTAAAAAAAGAAAAAATTAAGAAAACGGTGCTATTTGTGTAAAACGAATAAAGAGTCGAGCGACAGAAATATGGTCGAAGAATATTTGGATCAGAGTTTAAAAATCTAAAAGAAAGGTGTTTGGATCAAGAAATAGACATAATCTCGTTAACAAGGGTGTATGATGACCCATGGCATTGGATAGACGTGTCTAATGTGTTCAGAAATGGAAAGAAAATAACAGAGCAATAGAGAAAGCGTAGATATACGTACGAGTGAGCAAGTGCATGTGAAAATTAGTTGGAAATTAGTTAGAAATTAGTTAGAAATTAGTTAGAAGGTTAGTACAAGGCCTGGCAAGTACTTAGAACATCAGTCACGCTGATTTCAACGAAATTTATTGCGTTGATAACACTACAGTTAGAGATCAGACGCATGCATTATGAGAAAAGTACGCGTAAAATTGTGCATGAACGACGCAGTAAAACATATTGACACAGAACACTTCGCAAACAAATTTGTTTCGCCATCTCTGAACTTTAGAACTCGATTCGTGTCTTCACTTTACAACCATCGACAAAAATTACCACGCTCCTGGAAAGTCAATTAACCTACCTCTGATAATAAATCAAACATGTAAATAATGAAGAAACGTAGGTAAATAAATATTAATTTAAAATAAATAATAATCGTAAATTTGCATTTTCTCCTGAAACCCAATTACGATTCGTTCAGTTATATTTTGTAAACACCCTGTATGCGTGAATGCAAGTCTTCTTTCCATGGGCATCTTGGCAGAGAGCTGCCAGCGAGGACCCCAATGAAAAAGACCACTGAACACCCTCTCTTCATCTTCCATCTTGATCTTAATCACGAACCATCTCCAAATACTAATTCATCCTGGACTGGAATTCGATAACCGATTTTTCTTTCGACAACCGACACCACAGCGCACACGAGTTATCTTGCCCGTGATTGAACCGTCATTATATGGGCGCAGAGAGGCGGAGCCTGATAAGAACCATTATCCGTTTGGCGAGTAAACTCCCGTCTATGTTCCATTCTTGTTCGTGTTTCCGTTTCGATGGTCTGCTCGTCGTCTCGTCGTCGCATCGTGTACTGCTCATCGTCTCGCCTCGTCGTTGCTTCGCACGGTGAACGTTCAGAACGCTTTGTCCACGCTTTCGACGCGATCGTGGAGATCGCGAGGTGACGTAGCAAGTTAACAGGATCAAGTGGGTCGCTCCAACGTCCGCTCCTGGCGTTCTTCTGGTGATTGTTCTTTAAATTAGTGGATTAAATCTGAATTAAATCTCGGAATTTGACTATGAATCCCTTCGGTGGATGAAATTTTCGGACGATGTGAAAGTTAGGATAGTTGTCGCCATTCGTGTTGGTGGTAGCCTGAAGTTGAATAGTGGAGTTCCTTTAGAGGTGAAGTATTTCCTCGGTTATCGAACGTTTGTGACAATTTTTACTTGACAATCTGTGATATCGACTGTGAGTTTTGGTAAACTGTTTCAAGGATGTGATACGAGAATTTTTATCTGAGAAACGTTTTTATTCCAGGCTTACGAGGTGTACCTGTATAAAATTTAGTAGGTTCTATGTGTATTCTGAATTGTTCAAGAGAGTATAGTAGTACTATGTTCTTGAAACAGGATCTGTTTATTAATGGAATTTTTAATTTTGTTCGTTCAGTTTTCTTGCTGAAAATGATTTCTAATGTAACACGATCTCTATTTATTCTTATAGATATATTTTTTGATTTTTGTTAATTTATTGATTGCTGCTCGATCATTTTTTAAATAAATAAATCGTGTTTCATTTAGAATTAATGGAATTTGGAAATTAAATATAAAGGGGTTCTATTTTTATTGTTGAAATTTTATGTAATTAACGTGATACAAAAGCATGGTGTTTAAATAAATACATATTATTAAATACATAAGGTAGAAAAAATTGGAAATGATTGATTAGTAGTTGAATTTCTGTGACTACTAATCGTAACTGACTGTTTACATGTCACCACGTCAACACGTGGTCTTCTGCAATAGTAACGATGCTAACAACGTAACAGAAATCAGTTGTATAAGAGTATTTAATATATTAATTATTTGTCACGTTTGATTTAATATGAAATATAAAAACGATTCGAAATATTCTGGAAAGTGATTAAAATGAATGAAGTTTATTAACACGAAGTAGTATTAGGAAATGTGTCCTAATAATAATTTATACTTGAAAAATTGGATAATGTATTATGATAATAAAATTAAACTTTAGCGAATTTTATTATGAATGAAAAATAGCAATTTCGTTATAGTATTAATTATATATATATGTCATTGAATAGTTATTAAAATTTGTACAAAGTTATCAAATATAAAAGATATGGACTTATGTCTTTACTAGACTAATGAATTTTACTATACATTATTTCTATATTTTCTACACAAATTTTATGAATACATTTCATAATTTCATTTTACTTCTCTATATGACATTATTATATATAAGTTTGTTTCATATTGTGTTATTTCATCTCATCGTATAGTATTTTTTAATTTTATTATAAACGAAAACGTTATATTACTTCATTTTTACAATATTTCAATTACTCAAATATAGTTTCTGTTGAAATTTAATTTATATAAGAGTAATTATAATTTATAATTTTATTATTATTTATTATAATTTTATTAGAGTAATTTATAATCTTATTATAAATGAAAACATTATATTACTTAATTTTTACAATATTTCAATTACTCAAATATAATTGCTGTTGAAATATAGTTTACATACGAGTAATTACTCAATTATTTGTATGTAAATTACATTTCAACAGAAGTTATATTTTTGAATAATTGTTATTGCATTAAATATTCAAATATTATTCTTTTCCTAACACTGATTTAATTATCTTATTTTCTTAAAGTTGGAAAATGGTAGTATAAAGAAATACACGTTGCTCGGTAAAAGGAAACCTGTTTTCTCAAAAATTCTTACAATTTTAATTATAATGCCTTTTCCCTTTCTCAATAGGAACATAGACCTCGCAATAAGATCAATTTTAAATTAAAAATTTATTTTTCACTCTCTCACTTCTGATCATATTTTTATACACGCATCTTTTCCACTTGCATTTCTCCATCTTTAAATGACCCAACTGCAGTTTCTACATTATGACCCACATTTTACACCTTTAGTTCATTTAACACCTTTCTCGTGCACTTATTGCCTCTCTTACTTACTATCAATTTTAAAATGACCTAGCTGAATCTCCAATCAAAATTTTACTCGCTAAAAGAATTGTTTTATTTATTCATTTGGATTGATTTGACTAAACATGCAATTAAAATTTTATTTATTATAAAAATATACTATAGGGAAATTCATGATTTACTATACATGTAACTCATTTTTGATACCTGTTTCTTTAACATTTCTTTCATTTTTACTTGTTTTCATTTTCTATTTTAGTCGCTAATTTCAAAATTGCCTATCTATAATTTAGATATTTATATAAAAAGCTTTCCCAGAAACTATTTATCCTTAACCACAATTTTAGATCATGATCCATTCTCACTCACCTTGTTTTAACTTCTTTGATTCTCTAATTTTTCCATTTTATCCTATCTAAATAATTTCTTCAACATTTACATCATAATTTCTTCAACATCTACCTAAGTTTCCTCTCTTTCAGATTAAAAAAAGAAAAAACAAAAAGAAAAAAAAAACAGGGAAATAAAAATATTTCTCTGAAGAAAGTACCTACAGCAGGAACTGTCCGAAACCCCGAGCAAAAATCGTTTCACCCGCCAAAATGATCCCGAAAACTACACTCCCATGACTCACTCCACTCCGACAGTAATCACGCTTCCTTTGCAATCTTGACAGATTGGCATCCCTTTTGATAATTTAACAAACAACAGCGCGAACGCATCGAGACTCGTACTCGGCGCGTCAGCAGCCGGATGCTACCAGCACGAATACACAGGTGACAAACGAGTTTCGCCATTTCTTCTTTCATGCTCCGCACCAGCGGGAGTGGAAGTGGCGGCCCGTGTCGTAGGGAAACATGTTTGGCCGCATAAAAAAGTTGGCACTTTTATTTTCCTCGCCCGCGATTAACCGACCCGACAGTGTCTACTTTCAGTCGAATCGCGAGACGAGACGGACTCCGAGGGCCCACGAACACGCGGAGGAGAAGAAATGGATGCGATCAAGCATGGATGGTTCAGTGAAATTAACGATCTGTGGCCAGGTGTCTCGCTGTCCCTCGAGGTCGTCAAGATATTGCATCGGGAACGATCGCAGTATCAGGACGTGATGGTGCTCGACACGTAAATATCGCGCTTTGCCTATCTTAACAATAGCTTTGTTTCGGTGTGAGATGAACTGGTTTTGAGTTTAATTGCTAAGAAGATGGTGTGCAGACCGTTCGAGAGAAGCGGGCAGCGCGATGCAGTTGCATTGGAATTTTGGATGCAGTGCGTGATGACTGGTGAAATTTGCGCGAGTAGATTGGCTGGGTGTTAGCTAGGGGTTAGCTCGAGATGGAGATCGGATTTTGACGTTTCAAAAGTAGCTGGGAATGACAACAACAGAGATTTTTGGGATCCCTCAGATTCGAAAATTAGGTATCCTAATTCAAAAAGTTGGGCAAAGGGGATTTTAATTTCAGTGTTTCGATCCTAGTAATTCTAGTGTTTTAATATTTTTAATTTAGTATTTCTGGTGTTTTAATATTATGACCCTAATATTTTATTTTTAATAACTACAGTAATTTAATATTCTAATTTAAAGAATTTTATTATTATTCTTTCCTAGAATAATTTTAATATTGGGTCTCTTTTGTTTTTTATTGTAAAATTGAATTATTACAATTTTTATTCTAGAAGAGTGTCATAGAACGTGTTAAATAATTGTAAAATTTGGTATCCTAATTCAAAAAGTTGGATAAAGGGGATTTTAATTTCAGTGTTTCGATCCTAGTAATTCTAGTGTTTTAATATTTTTAATTTAATATTTCTGGTGTTTTAATATTATGATCCTAATATTTTATTTTTAATAACTGCAGTAATTTAATATTCCAATTTAAACAATTTTATTATTATTCTTTCCTAGAATAATTTTAATATTGGGTCACTTTTGTTTTCTATTGTAAAATTGAGTTATAGCAATCCTTCATCTAGACGAGTGTCATAGAACGTGTTAAATAATTGTAAAATTTGGTATCCTAATTCAAAAAGTTGGGTAAAGGGGATTTTAATTTCATTGTTTTGTTCCTAGTAATTCTAGTGTTTTAATATTTTTAATTTAATATTTCTGGTGTTTATATATTATGATTCTAATATCTCATTTTTCATAACTGCAGTAATTTAATGTTCCAATTTAAACAATTTTATTATTATTCTTTTCTAGAATAATTTTAATATTGGGTCACTCTTGTTTTCTGTTATAAAATTGAATTATTGCAATTTTTATTCTAGACGGGTGTCATAGAACGTGTTAAATAATTGAAAATTTTTCAGAGGATCTTGCTGTTTTTGGGATCGACGAATCTCTCAGATTCGAAAATTAAATATCCCAAATCAAAAAGTTGGGTAAAGGGGATTTTAATTTCAGTGTTTCGATCCTAGTAATTCTAGTGTTTTAATATTTTTAATTTAGTATTTCTGGTGCTTTAATATTATGATCTTAATATCTCATTTTTAACAACTGCAGTAATTTAATATTCCAATTTAAACAATTTTATTACTATTTTTTTCTAGAATAATTTGAATATTGGGTCACTTTTGTTTTCTGCGAAGGAGTTTTTAGTGAAAAAGAAAGGAACAATCGAGAAAGTGCAGTAATAGCTGTGTTGTTATTTTCGAGTCCACGATTTCTCAGTTATAAAGTATCAACAGTCACTATTTTTGGATATATCGATATTCTTCATTGCATAATTCAAAGTTCATCGTAGACTTTCACAATTTCAAGTGTATCTAATCTTTCGTTTGTACGAATGTGTATTTTACTGATAAACAACGATTGCTGCAACACAATGCCCTTATCTTTATCTTCTGTTTTCCTACAATGTTCTCTTTGTGTAATCTATGAAGATACATAGTAATTTATTGGTCTAGCGATATATTTCTATTTTCGAAAAATTTCGATTGAAAGAGGAAAGAAAAGAATAAAGTAAAATGGAATTAAACTCGAAATAAGTTAGTTATTTGACATTGTTTCAAAGGGAATTTCTTTTAATTACACGTATACAGGAAATCACATGGAAGGACCCTAATTTTAGATGGTATCATACAATGCACGGAGAGAGATGAATTCTCGTACCAGGAGATGATTGCATTTTTACCATTGTGCAGCCACCCGAATCCAAAAACTGTAAGATATTACATGTATCTTCAACACTTTTCGATTATTAAATAATTTTCCGTAACATTGAAATTTGCATTTAACTCGTTGAATTATTGTTCTTATAAATTTAGTAACACCTTCGTGACATTTTATTTTACTTCAACGATTAACTACTGGAAAAAAGAAATATTACTCACGTAGATTGTCTAAATATAAAAATAATCAAAGTAAAATATAAATAGCTAGTGATAATGGTACTGATGATAATGACATTGTTTTTAAATTATCTAATGCTTCTTCGAAAATTTAAAAAACGAACGTATACAGATAATTCATAAATAATAATATATACGTACAATTTACAAAATTTTTTGACCAAAATGTACGTACTTATTTTTCATGTTTTTATAATTTTATTCAAATAATCATAAATTTTAGAAATATTATTTACTATTCATGTACCTATATATATATTATTTGAATAAAATATATATTATTATGTACCTATTATATATGTAATATATATGTACTTATTATATACCTATTATTTCTTCATTTGTTTATAAATTAATTATACTAATATTTTATATTATGTTATATGTATCATAGAAAATTTTAAAAATTGTCAAGAAGAAATCAAATTTTTACTATATAGACACTATAAAAATACTAGCAGTGTTGAACTGGAATTTTATTTTTTTCTGATCTATTTTGACAGGTTTTAATAGTCGGGGGTGGAGACGGTGGAGTTGCTCGTGAAGTAGCAAAACATCCACAAGTAGAACGAATCGTACAAGTCGAGATCGATCCGAAGGTACTGGAAGTATCGACGAAATATTTGCCTTCTATGGGTATTGGATTGGATCACCCTAAAGTGACTCTTAATGTGGGAGATGGCTTTCAATTCCTGAAGCAACACCGTGGGGAATTTGACGTTATAATTACTGACAGCAGTGATCCTATCGGTGAGTAGAGGACAAAGAAAATAAGACAAAGAAAATCAAAATTAATTAAACCTATTTCATATTAAAAATTTCCTATTCGACTGTTCTTATAAATTTTATCTTTAACTTCTAATTTTTATTTTAATTTCTTAGAGAATAAGTTATACGTGAAAGTGATACTTCTGAAAATTACTTTTGGAAAAATTTTCTTATTTATACACATAAATTAATTAAACACATAATTCATATTGCAAATTTATAGTTGTGAAAATTTCTTTAGATTCAAATTATTTTTAATATTTTTTGAAACGACTATGACATAAATTACGTGATAAAGCAAAATATTTATTACATAACTAATAACATATAGAAAGAAACTTAATGTTGACTGGAAAAATCTTTAAATTGCTTTTAATATCCAAATACTTTTAATGGTAATTTTTAACTATTTATATGTTAATTGAATGACCTAATGTGAACCATTTTGGTTTAATATCATCGATATTTATGAATAGAAAATGTATAACAGAAATATTTTCTTCGAAGGAATTAAATAAACTGACAAAATGTTTACAAATCCAGGTCCAGCAGAGTGCCTGTTTCACAAATCTTACTTCGATTTGATGAAAAGTGCATTGAAACCTGGCGGAATCGTTTGCAGTCAAGCGGGCACTGCATGGTTAAATCTCGATCACGTGACACGGACTCTGCAACATTGTAAATCGCTATTTTCGGTTGCATCATATGGTGTTGTGTCTGTGCCTACCTACCCCACGGGACAAATTGGATTCGTCCTTGGTAGCTTAAGTACCGTGAGTACTAATCAAATACATTTTAATACTAAAATATTAACAATATTAGTTATAAAATTAATAATAATATTTGTAATTAATATTAACAATGTTATGTTGCTATTATTCTTAATTTTACTTGTAATAACTATAGTATATGTAAGTAATAATAATAATAATAATATATCTAGTATACTTAATAGTATACATTATTAATATTTTCCACTTAATACCTAACAATTATTTCTTCCTACATTATTTTTTACTTATAATGAATTTCAAAATTTTGTTTGCTTCAATCCAAGCAAAACTGCACTTGACCAATACGATTAATCAGGAATTAAAAATTAAATTATCTTTGCAATATATTCCAATGATCGTAAAAGACTACCAACTTATAAATTAATTTCGAATAATTTTTTACCAAAGATTAACAATTATTAAACGATATAAATTTTTAGGACACGAATCTCAAAGAGCCAAGAAAGATTTTCAGTGAAAGTGAGCTCGATCAGATGAACATGAAATACTACAACGACGAAGTACACAGAGCTGCATTCATTCTCCCAAGGTTTATAACGAAAGCACTAAACGTGGCACTCGCCGAGAACTAGTCATCGAATTTTCTGAGAAAATAATATAAATCGCTTTTTTATACACAAGACTTTTGATACACGAGAAATCACTGTCATCGGTTGTACTTCAACTACCTCGATTATCGAGATATTTTATACTTATTAAATATACACTGTTTTGTATCAATTTCGATGTTCAGTTATTAATATAGATGTTTTATAACTAATTAATAACATCACACATTCATCACACGTACACGTGAAAACACTTTCTCAATGACATGACACGAAATGTTAGAAATTCTTTATTATTTCAATGTAATTAAGACTAATATCTATATTCGCGAATATTCGCTGTAATATAATAATAATAAAACAATATTCATCGTCATAATCACCATAGATGTACGTGGTATTTTGTAATTAATTAATAAGAATAAAGCAATAATATAATATAATCTAATATAATAATATAATATAATATTACAACTTGCAACATTCCACGACAGGGCTTAATCGATTGTACTAAATATAACGATTAAAAATATCTTGTATATAAATCTGAATTATCAAAAAAACAGTGTTGAAAAGTGTTAAAATTTGTAAAACCCGCCATTCCTTTTCTTTATCTCTCTCTATCTGTCTGTCTCTGTCTCTCTTTCTCTCTCTCTCTCTCTCTCTCTCTTTTTCTATCTCTCGTTGCGTTTTGTTTCTTCTTAATACCATTAACGACATATATATTTAATATATAATATATAGAGAATCTATAGTATAATTTCTTTCGTTTATATTTATATTTATACATATATTCTTCCTATATATCATGGCACACACCTATAAGTATATACGTATATAAAATAAAAACACGATTGACGATCGTTCTGAAAATATATAACACTAAATGCAGTAATGTATTACATATATTTCTATACGTATCCCTTTGGAGAAGTTCGACAATAAAAATCTAACTTCTGTCCTCTTGGAAACCATTTTCTTTTTTCCTTTTTCTCTTTCTTCGGTGAAAAGGGATTCCTCGTACGTATTTCCTTCCATATACGTTTTTTTTTTTATTTTCTTCCATTTTATAATTACACTATCGAACATTAGTAAAGCATCTGATTTTTTGGTAATATTTGAAAATCCTACGACTTTGCTACGAGCACGTGAAAAAAGCGGCAGCTCATTAGACTCAGGCACTTTTTTTTCATTTTATCGATTATTCTGCGTAAAGACACCGAAATTTACGCGAAATATTTCAACTATTTACAAATTCTTTATCTATCCTCGAAAGACTAACGATAATTGCACTAATCGATCACTTGGGACAGGTCTGTCCAACCATCGACCTTCTAATCAATTTTCAGATCATTTTCACGTTTACATACCTTGCCTGAAATATTTTCGAAGGTACACGACCATTTTAAACACTTGTTTCTTAGTTGTATTTACATCTTATAATCTTTTAATAATCTTTTACTATGAAATTCGTTTTTATAATAAAAAAAGTGCATCAACAAATTCATATTTGGAAGAAATATAATCATAGTAGCAAAGTTTCTGTGTAATGTAAATTTGTGCATAAAAATGTTAAAAACGTGTAAAAAGTATATAAAATTGACAAGTTTTTATGTATAATGTAACCTTTTTTATACAAATTCAAGATTGAAACTGATATTTCACAATTATTTATGTTATTTCAACATTGAACAAATATTCACAATTAATTTTATTACAATTTGCAATAAAATTATCACAATTCATGTTCATTGTGAAGCAACTAAGTATCTTGTTTGTAGCTTATAATCCAGGTCAATATTATAGATAGCTTTTATTCATTATTTTCATTAGAACTTAAATTTTATAAAATCTTACTGGCATTTCTATATAAATTTCATTAGAATATCTACAACCCTATAGTTTTAGTTAAGATTTGCAAAGCCCTATTAAATTACGTAATTTCTAAGTTAATTTTCATTACACTCTTAATTTTATTTTTTCTCTATCAAAAAAGCTTTGCAGTAACAAAAATAAAATTATCTACTCTAGGACATTTTGCGATAAAATATTCAGTCCAATTTTTATTACAATATAATTTTTGCATACTTAGCAGTTACTCTCGTTTGCCCTGAATATTATTTTGTTATCATTTTAGCAGTATAATTGTTTTTGATTATTATAGTATACAGAATGATTCGAAAAGTTGGAAGAAAATAATGGTTTAATTTTATGAATTACTTTATGTTTCATACAATAATTATTGACAATAATTTAAATATGTTAGAAAAGCTCTTTTCTATTGTTTTACTAAATTATGATGTAGACAAGTCCAACAAACTGTAAGAAAAACTTCAAAATCTGCATAGAAAAATATTAAAAATAAATGATGATATATGTTACTATTTATTTGAACAGATAAGATTTATTATACTAAAAATATATCTGGTATTTTTTAGTCCTCAATAACTTCATCTTATAAGTTATATACATGGCTGTATAAGGTGAATGTATACGTAAAAAAGAAGAAATAGTCTCCATTAAATTTCTCTCTCCATAAACCTTTTTCTCATCATTCTTATTCAAAATATGGTTGAATTAGAATCATTCTATATACATTTAACTCGTTTACGATCTTTACTTTCAGTTGGACAGTCCTGACTCGAAATGTTGACGATCGAATCGTCTTACAAAATTAACAAACACGAGCTACCGCGAACAAATGATAAACAGCGAGCAACACAGAAGATAATGTAAGTGAAGAACCATAAGTTCAAGCGACGATTAGCTTTCAGAACGAATAAAGGCGCACTTAAAGAGTAATGTTAATCCCGAAAAACGGAAAATGTTAAGGAGAAACAGGCTGGGACACTGTGGGACTAAGCCGCACAGTGTCAGAAAGTTAATAAAATTAAATGATATGTTGCTTCTCTTGTTAATCCGTGGTCTTAAACTTAAAATTATGATAAATTAGATCTAAATTAAATCAGGTGAACGACGGCTATTAATCGCTTGTTGAAAACCAAAAAATAAAAGAAGAAATATCAGTTCAAACAAACATCCTTTTCCCTCGTTGGATAATGGATAATTAAAATTGATTGTTAAATATAAATATATGTTTAGAAAGGTGCAGACTCTTCTATATGAAATTATCTTTAACCCATAAAATCGTCTTTTATCTGTAAATACTATCTTTAAAAATTCTTTGAATCTATTTTTAAAAAGATATCTTAGAAAACCAAATGTGAATATTCATCACAATCTTGTTCATGTTAGATCAACATAAATAAATTTGTGGAAAAGGTGGACGGTTATATTCGAATCAATAGTTATCCTTATAAAGGCTAATTTCGAAAGCACATAGTTAATTCTATCTAAGGGCACTTTTCTATCGTTTTATCATAAAGATTATCATACAAAGATGAAAGTTCATCATTATCATTTTGGTATACCAAGACAGTGAACATGTTAGTATCTAGAATGGAAATTGAGTGATTTCGATTCTATTCCTTGATCGGATGTTTAATGATACAAGTTTATGAATGTAAATCATAAATTTGGAGATATTGTTTTTGAGCTACTATAGAAACTAAGGTATTAATTACAAATATGTTATGCATCGACAAAGCAAATAACCTATAATCTGAGGCAGTTCAAATAAAATAAAAAGTTTCATGTAATATGAACTTTATATTTAATAATAATATTATTAAACGCAAATCGTACGATTCTTATTAACAAAATCATTAACTCCTTTGATTTCGTTTTATTCTCTCCTAGAGAATTATTATTAGTACTGAATATTTACATTTGTGTTATGACTGTGATAAATTTCTAATGTTATAAAGTGTACTAATGAACAAATAATATTTTACCCCCTAATGATGAATATGGATGAAGAACAATGTGTAGAATAAAAAATTTTAATTACTTTCACAATTTAAAAAAAAATTAAATAAATAAATTGATAAAATAATTTCCAGAAAAATTAGTTGAAAATTAATTTCAAGAATTTTCTAAAATTAGAAATTTACTTTTTATTTCAAGAATATGATATAAATTGTTCAAACTATTGTCCCTGTAAATATAATCATTAGATGCTTAATAAAATAACTACTAAATATCTTATTTTCAAATAATAATATAAAAGAAATAATAAATAGTGTTATGCTAAATAATGTATAGTTCTATAATAAAATTTGTATAAATTTCAAATAAACTATATATTATTAATTTGACTTACTTTTGTATATAAATAAAATTTAGAAACAAACTTAAATACAGTTAAAACGCGATATTAAATATAGCACGGCAAGATGTATCAAGAACATTATGGAAATACTTAAACATAATGTTGTCTTGTAAATAATGAAAGAATAATTAAAACAATACCTTTATTCTATTAACAAATATATTTTGAATTTTGTTGATTGGAAACGTACGATTTGATAAAGCATTAAGTTAATTAAATTATCCCATGTATTGATATCAATAACATATCCAATATGATAGCCAAAAACAATTCGTCTCCAATATATGAAAAATGCATTTTTAGTATGTGCCAATTACGACACTGCCACCATGATTTTGTCGTTTATATTTATCAACACGTTTTTTCACTTTTTCTTTCCTATCTTCATTTACGGTTCTCATGGTTTCGCAAAGGGCCCGATCAATTTTTATACATATCGACAACCAAGCTCGTGCGAACCTTACATCTCAAGAATTTCTTCATATCTTTTCGGTTTTATTTACTGTGATCATGAGTTTTTTAAACTTCCTTCATATTTCTTGTTTCGAACATTCTTCTTGGTTTTAGCCTCAACCTTCTGCTCACATTTAGTAACCAATCCCTCATGAACCGCTACTTTTATATCCGCCATTGTTCTTCCGTTTTCTGTAAGTTTCTCTGCATATTCATGTTTTTTCTTCAATATGAAGTAGCCCTTTTCTTCTCGTTTGAGGACTGTCACTTTTGTTCTTAACAGTCAATTCTTGGATCAGGCACATTGGTACTGTATAAACAAATGATTATTTTTGTTGTCACCATAGTCGTTGTCAATATTGGTATTGTTGTTAACCATAAATTGAGTTGCAAAATATCGATATAATCATTACAACATTGTTGCTTCAGTGTTATAACTTTCTTGATTGATCTTCCTTTCAATAGAACTATATTGACCAGATGAACTATCCATAGTCATTTTTTTATCAGAGACAAGATAAGGGCTGTCAGAGGTATACCGTCTTTCATATTGATTTTCATTATATTTTTTTTCAACTGATCCATATTGACTTTCCATTGCAGATCGATATTGATTCTCTTTCATTTTTTTTTCTAAGGTACTTTGTGTAGAATGGACTTTTTCTGGACTGATCAGAGTCTGTCTATCAGAAAGTTGGCTCATATTGTGCGTTGTAGAATGCAGTTGGTACATGCTGTAATTCATCTGTGACTGGGTTTCATAAGCTCTGGTTTCATACCTGGTTGTATAACTCTCGTAACCGCTTTGTTCAGCATCTGTGTCAGTATCAGCTAAGTCTGGTCGATTTTTATACTTGGCCTGTCGAATGGCAGTGAGTCTTCCTCTAGCTTCTTCCAATTCTCTTTCGATACGGAGAACTTCAGATCTAGCATTTATCTCTTGGGCGATACCACCGACCATTCTGCGGTTCAAAATCAAAGATCTATCTTCTTCTTGTTGGATAGCCTGCTGGGCTGCTCGTACTAAATTGTCTGTAGCACGTTTTACAGCATTTCCAGCTGCTTGTAAACGTTTTGTGCTCTCGCTGTCTGGGTCAGCTTTTACTTTACAAGCAACCAGTAGTTGGGCTGTACTACTGGCAACTTGTTTTGCACTCGAAATCAGTTTTTCTTCAGAGCTAACACCTTGTACCAAAGCATTTGCTGACTCTACGAGACTATGGGTTGCAGCTGCGACCATTCTCGCAGCAGAAATTAGTCCTTCGGACCACTGGCCATCGTCAGAACTGGTTAGAGGTGTTCGGGAAACCTTTCCTGTTGCTATCAACTCCCTTTGAGCAGCACTGGCTGCTTTTATAAGTGCCGATGTAGCGGCAGCAATTGATTTGGCAGCTTCTAGGATCATTTCGTCGAAATTCATGTCTTCGTTTGCCTCCTATAACGTAAAAGTGGAAAATTAAACATGAAAAACTAATAATCAAACATGAAAATATTTGTCCAGTGGAAGTAATCTAATTAAAGTGAGTAGAAAATTTTAACATGTCTGGATTGTAAATAGTTCTTAGGAAAAAATGATTATCTTTATTTATTGCTGCTATTATTTATTTTAAACGTTATCAGGTCTAATGATTTATAGAATTATATATTAATTAAATCAGTCCATAACTAATACATTATTTTAATTATATTAAACTAAACACTTCACAACTATATGACTACATGAATATAATTAATATGTCGAAATCAAACCTAGGTTAATACTTTAGGAATTAAATTATGCATATAACTGCCTTTTATCTCACCATCCATTTGATTTCCGTTGATTTTTCTGACCACCATAATAATATGTTTGATTCCTGGTCGATTATTTAAAAAACAACCAAGAATATCAAACATATCTTACAGAAATCAGAGTGCTTTCTAGTTTTTCATGGAATTTGTCATTATCTACATCTTACAGACTAAGTTTTAATTTATAGAAACAATTGAAAAACAATATTTAAAAAACTTTCTAAATAAAAGAAGACATTTATTCCAGCACATTCCTCGTATAATTACCAAGAATATCTTTGATTCCAATTGCTTTTTACTGAATATGCAAAAACTATCTCTGTTAAAGCTGCTATTTTTTACTCTATTTGATTTAAATTGTAAAACAAATTATTATTAGCACTAATACTAATAATATATCTAAAACAGCTTACCTGTATACTTCTCCTAGGTCTTAAACTAGCAAGCTTTTTAGCAGCAGCATCAATACTGGCAGCAGCACCCAGCAACTCATTTTCTGCAATCACTGTAGGATCATCAGGATCCACCCAATCATTACCCTTCAGTAATTCAGCAACAGCTACTAATTCAGTGACACATTGTGCAATCTTCCTACTAATAGGAGGCAAAGTATGCTTTGCATCACCAGATCTTGAAGATATTTGTAAAATAGCTTGCAGCAATTCCCTGTAATTAATACCGACATCGTGACCAGCCTGAAGTGTTCTATCTCGTAATTCAGCAGTTTCTGCACAATTATAAGCTGCTCCTTTGCAAATGATCAGCATATCACTAATAGCTTTTCGCCCCATGTTTGCGGCTGCAATTATATCATCCTGTTTGCAGCTGTTTCCTGCGGCCACTGCTTTAGCAGTTGAAATAGTGATGCTCTTTGTGCAACGAACAAGGTCTTCTGGAGTCACATTGGTCTTCTGAATTTCTGCGGTGTTCAAGGCGCGGATTTCTTGCGCTATAGCTTCGATAGTTGATTCCAAAGCTCTGGTACCGCGAGTATGTTCATCTTCGACGGCTTTCACTGTCTTCAACAGGGATGTTACATTGGTCACCATCACCTGAAGATGAAAAGATAAAGAAAATTACAGTATGTTCTATTCATATTAGAGATGACAATCTGGGTACTGTTTTTTATGTACTCATTGTTGAAAATAAGTGAGAATTATTGATGAATTGATCCAAAAATCAACTAATTCCAATTAGTATTCACATATTTGTTAATAGTATTCATAAATAATAAATTTTGAATTACATGATTTTTAGATTACTGTACTCTAAATAAAATATAAAATATGTTATGGTGTTAATATTGTACAATGGTGGTCAGTCGAGTGTTCTGAATAAAACGGCGATGAGATGTTCTGCTGCACAAGAACCTTGAGAAAAGTTAATGTACTCCTTACATACAGTTAGTGAGTTTCTAATATTATTATTAGCCTCTAGATAAAACATTAAAAAAGGGGTTAAACTGATTGCTGCAAAATGAAATTAGAAAATAAAAGAAGCATAAAACTGACTTTTTTCCTCACTGTGTGTTCATCGAATGAATTTTTCAAAATTTTTATATCAAAATTAATGATTATATCTGATGTGACTTATTAATATCATCAGAAATTGTGGATAATCATCTTAACCACAGTTTAAACTAGTTAGCAATGATAAAAGAAATCTGGTCGAAAATGTTATTGTCATCCCAAATTCTTTCTAACAAACAGTGAACAACGTATTAATATCTGATTAGTTGACGAAGCATTAAGCACGATGCTATTAATCGTTAATGCACACACGTTTGCAAGTAGAATGTACGTACCTAAGGGTTGCTTTGTTTTTTTAAAAAAAATATTTGCCCATGGATGGATTAATGTACTCTTATAAAGGGTTGTGGCATAGTAAAAATTCGATGATTTATTTTCGTTGATTACAAGAGAAAAAAAAGTAACAGGAAAGAAAAGAGTTTAAGAAGGGGAGATGAAATATGGTACAAAGTATAGTAATACCTCGACTGTGAAGCACGATACAATTGTTTGCATAGGAAGAATGATGTCTACAAATACGAATGCATGTGAATGACTAAAAATGTAGCAGAAGCGCATCCTGTTATTACATTTCGATATTATTATTATTGAATTATTGTATTATTCGTGATCTTTTGTGTACAAGGAACTCTATACTATAAATGCTTCAATGTAACTCGACAAAAATTCGAATAAGAAAGGAACTGTTAAGTGCAAATTTGATGATCAAATTCGTCACCAAGTTCTCTTTATAATGGATTAGTAATTTTCCATTGGAATCTTTTGTAAATATTTTCTGTAAAGAAAAGCTTTTTAATACGTCTGTTTTCACCCTTTCGGTACTTTGCATTACTATATTTTCTTTTTTGATCTACTTTGGAAACCTTTTTTCACAACATCTTATAATTGCAATTTCTATGTAACAGTAAAGACGACTAGACTGCAAAATTGAAGCAGAAATGCAAAATCTACTATTTATTTAATTATTTTTTCCAGACTTCAATTTTAGATAAAAGAAAATGTGTAATTCAGTTGACTACAACTGGGACCAAAGATTTTTATTAATCAATATGGACCATTTCTCAATATTTCATCCAATAGTATATTATAAGTGCTTGGTACTAAAACTACCAAACCAGTTAATACCGCTGATCTCAGACTTTCCACTTTGCAGTTACTGGGAGAAGTGTTCATTATGTACTCATTTGTTTTCATTATATTACTTTAGTTATTATCATTATATATATTACGTACACATTATAGTTCTACTATTAATTCTTAGAATATCAAACCAGAGTGTTCTTTACTAAATGAAATTTCTAATTTCTCTTATATGAATAAAGTTATCTAACTTTCTTCTCTTTCCATTTTTTCTTATTAAAATTAGTAATAAGGTACATGAAAAAAATCACTAATAATACTTATTATTAAATTAGTAATCGTATTACTAATAGTTGCCCACAGGCAATGAAAAAGTTTATATTGGAATCTCTGAATAAACCTACTTTGGTATGTTAAGGCTCAAGAAGCATCTATGAGAAGTAACGAATGGAAAAATATTCATACATATATGTAACTAATAAATTGGAAAATGAATGGAAAGATAAATATCATTTAGAGAGAGTGAATGGCCATAAGTAATAAAAATCTTGAATTCTAATCACAATGTACCAAAAGGGTAAACATCGCATTTACTCAGAATCAATTGAAATGGCTGTAAAGAGCACGGCTCGACCAATGCTTCTCTACATGAGCAACAGCAAATCAGAAGTTCGCTGAGACGGTTGTTCGCTCTCTGATGCTGAGAGCAGACGTATCAGCTCCTCCTCTTGATCGGACACGAACCATTCGGACTCCGAGCCGCCGACGTCACTCAGAGGCATCAGCTGTTGGTGTAGCTGCTGTTCTAACACCTATCCGGATCGGCCAGACCAAAATCGTCAATGAAAACTCACAATTAAAGTCCACCAAGTTCGTGAGAAAATCTTTCGCTACTTATCATCGCGTGTAAAAAATCTCATCTCAACAAGCAAAACAAAGCCGGATAAGAATATATATGTATATGTTCATATCGTTGAAGCAAAAATCGGTTCTGCCTCACGCACATCTATTCTACATACTTTCCATCAAGGGAACACAGACCGAGTTTATAATATCACACACGCTAGAAAGAAAAGATGGAACATCGAACGAGTAGGAGAGTGCAAGGTGGACTTTAATAGTTTGACAGTGAACGTTCTTGATCGAGGCACGAACAATTCTAACAAATACGCCGGGTGTGCAAGGTCATCGAGAATTACTTCTGATTTACTATTGTACCATTTTATATCTTTTCTTTTTTTCTTTCCTTCTTTCCATTTGTTTCTTTTTCCTTTTTAGTCGGTTAGAGGTGAAATGGAACAATTTATCGATTAAAGTCCACCCAAAAAATAATGGGAAGTTGGTTCATGGTTAAGCGTGAAGACTAAATTTAGTGTGTTAACGAGAAACAACAACGAGGCACTGTTAGGTTCGACTTGATGGGATTCCAAATGTCCTGCTTTGATTTTTCCCTCTCTACATATTAATGCAATTTTTGCTGCGGTTAATACTGTTTAATCAAGCGTTTCCCAACCTAGATATTTTAATACATAAAATTATTATTACAATAGTAATATAATCTAAGTCAGTACTGTTACAATGATCTAATAGATCTAATGATTCAACGTATATTCAAAGATGACTAAAAGGATAAAATTTTTATCCAATACTTTGAAGTAAATATGATGATTGTAATTTGTGTAAAAGAAGAAGTTAGAAATCTTCTGGACTTTTTCACAAATTGAAATATAGAAAATATTACAAAATTTTCCTCCTCCGGAATACCAGCAACTTTTCTTCAGTACTAATTGGGAAATCAAGAACAAACACCCTGTTTAGTCACATACATGTATCCTCCATAATGCTCTACTTCCTGATGTATTTGGACGCTGCCATTCCATTACAAGCCTCTTCCACTCAAGCGTCTTTCCGAGACAAAGTTAATACTAAGCCAACAACAGAAGACTCCTTGTCCAACCGCAACACTGAGGTGAACACAAGTAAAGCGACAAGAAAAGGAATGATTTTTAAATAAATCATCTTACCTTGGCAGAGTCCTTTAAGTGTGCCATGCTGGGATCATTGATAGGTTTCCCACTAGCTGCTTTGGTAGCATGTATCAAATCTCCAAGTGCAGAAGCCACGTCTTTCACCGCGTTGATTAACATTACTTGAGCCTCGGGATTCTGACTACCCAAACTGGCCGCGCCATATTTGACCACTTCAGCGAGTTGAACGATGGTTGAAACAGCATTTTGTGCTGCGACTGCCAGCTGCTCTTGAGACGAAGCTGCACCCGCTACTAGTGTCTTAGTATCTTCAACGAGAGCCTTAGCTGTCTTCAAGATATTCTCTCTATGATCAGCAAAAGTATCGCCTTCGTTCTCTGCATGCAAAGTTCCAGCAGTGGCAAACATGATCGTGGTATCCAGGTCACCAATAATGCCGGACACAGTGCTTGCAGCATTAATGCACGCTTGGGTGCCTCTAGAACCAGCCTGCAGAGCAGCTAACACCTGGGATACTTTTTCTGTAACGATCTTGCTGTGTTCTGCTACTTCTCGTTGAGCGTAAGCGTCGCCTGGTGACATCTGACATGTTCCTGCTGCTCGTACTATGTCTGCACAAGCTCTACCAAGTTCTTGAACACCTGTTCGAAGTCTTGCAGATACGTCAGCGTTAGACGCGGCTGCTGATGCTCCGGATGTATCACGGGCTAGCTGAGTATACTTGTGAGAGATGTCCACTGCGAGTGGGCCTAGTCTGCCTACATCAGTGCTAGATTTTGTGGACTAGAATGAATGAAAATTAGACTTAATTACATGTAAGCTACATTAATAATTTTTGCTAATTTTCCTACATTCTTTTACATTAATTGATCACTCATATATACCTGAATACAGTATACACAGATAAAAATATTTAGAGTGGTATATAATACAAATAAATAGGTGAACATAATTATATTTCTGTCTTAATAATAAAAATTATTTATGAATATAAAAATTAAAGCAGTGTGTTTTCAGTAATAGCAAAAAACAAAATTTTTAATATTGATTATTTTGATTGATTTGATAATCCTAGTGTTAGAAATATACTTAAATTATACTTCTATTGTTCTTAAAGAAATAATGGCTAGTATAACATAACAATGCTACACGAATGTCAATCTAAATATTACAAGATCTCAAATAGAATATTTAAAGAGTATAGAAATATTTGAATAGTTATTTACCATTTCCTGTGCTAGTCGAGCAATCTCTTTAGCAGCTTCCACCATTCTAGTTTGATAATCCACGTAAGAATCCACGGTATCGATCGTAGACATTCTGTGATCTTCTAATCTAACCATAGCACGAGAAATTGTATCAATCAATCCGGTAACGATACCATTCGATGTTGAAATTGTCTCCAAAGTGTTTTGTAATTCTTGTAACGCATCTTTCATGGATTCCACTGTTTCGTCCACTTCCGCATGTAGATTGATAGCCTTTGGATTACCACCAGACTCCTTTGTTACGCAGACCAGTTGCAGAGCAGATTCAGTGACGGTTTTTGTTTGATCCAGTAGCACCATTTGTTGCTTCGAGTGTACCATGTTTGAAGCAGCACCAATAGCACCAGAAACTAGAGGCTCACAATACAAAGCAATCTGATTCACAGCATGTCCTACATTTTCGGCTTCGTATTTGGCAGCTGTTCGAAGAGGCTCCAGTTTTTCTCGTAGCTCGCTAGCACTACTTTCCATTTGATCGGTGAATCCTTGTACAGTGTTCTCTCTTCTTGGTACGAGTGCTTGTGAAACGGCACTGAGGGATGCAGCGTCCAGTTCTCGAATCCTAGCTGACAGTTTTTCAATCGCAGCATCGCATTCCTTTTGACCAGGTGCCTTGTCGCGAATAGAAGCAACTAAGGATTTGATCGAATCACTAACACTCTTGCTATGATTTGCTAATAATTGCCAAGTTGGAGGATCTTTGGGACTGACTGCTAAGCTTTTGGCGGCTCGCACCATTGCGCAAGAACCATCAATAATAGCTTTACCAGCGCTGGTTATTGGTTCTTGAGCAGCCCTAGCTGCGATAGATATCTTTGCAGGTTGACTTGCAAATTCAGGAGAACCAGCGAAAGTGCATAGATTGTCAACTGCTTCCAAAAGTGGCTTGGTAGCCTCTGCACACCTTTCTCTGTTAGCCTCAGAATAATCCTGATCTAACGCCTTGATCTCTTTCACTAGGGCTGACGTTGAATTGGCAACATCTTTGGCTGATTGAACAAAGTGTCGTTTGGCAACAGGATTGCTAGTTTTGTTTGAAGCTTCGCGGCAAGCGTTACAAAGAGCACTTGTATATTTAGCAATCATGGTAGCTGCTGAGAGGACTTGTTGTTCAGTGCTGGTGGGATTTCCTAAACTTTGACAACCAGTATGAATAGCCTGTGCAGCTCTGAGAAATTGAGCCTGATCAACTAAGCCTGGTTTTCCAGCCACCGATGTTGGGTCACTTACTCCTGCTAGATACGCGGCTTGAGCAGCTGCTTCTATTAATCCACAGATCGATGATGAGACACCTCTAACAGCTACTGAGAATTGTTCATGCTCGGACTTCTTTGCATGATTAGCTATGCCTGTCATTCCATCGCCAAGACTCTTACTCTTTTCCATTACTGTCTCAAGGCACTCAAAGTAACTTGCATCAGAAATTGGTTCGCTAGGATTGTCAAGAAGCGATCTCATTGACTGAATATTTCTGATGGCATTGTCACATTCATTTTGTCCAGGTGCAGCTGAAGTACAAACGTCAACAAGATAGTTGATGGAATCTGTTACAGCCCTTGCAGCTGCTGATAACTGATTCTTTGCGTTTGGAGCGCTGGGATCGGCTGCTACGGATTTGGCAGTTACTAAAAGTTTGCTGGATGTCATACTGACGTTCTTCAAAGAAACCACCATTTGGCTTCTGGTTTCGATAGCTGTCTGGCCAGCCATTTCCATACCAACACCCAACAAGTCTCCAAAAGCGTTGGTAAATTGCTTTGAAGAACTAGCCAGCTGCACAGGAGAACGCACTGATGATACTACGTTTGAAGAAGCATCGTTCAGGTTTGCAGCTGCGTTGTTCAGGTCACTTTGTAGTTGTCTGTAAGAGACAGATTAATAACTTGTATATTTATTATATTAAGACAAGAAGGTAATTGTAATAAACGATATATTACATCAAGTTAAACGCTGATTTAGTACTTGAAATTATTATCTGAATTAATAATGAAATTGTACTGATAATTATATTGAGCATAATTACCCAGTAAAAATAAAATAATTGTGCGATAAAAATTAATGAAACGAAGCATATTTTATATTTAATTTCTATGATATATATAACGAAAATTAAATTTCTACATATCGAATATTTTATTTTAAAATATTTAGCATGAGAATTTAATATTTAAAACTAGTTATTGGACATGTTAAATGCTTACTGCTATTCAAATTTATCGCTTACCATTATCTCTAGAGATTCAAATGTGTGTCAATGAATGATAAGCGAAATGAAACAACCAAAAGGTAACTAACTAATAGTGTACTATTTGATAACAACCATCTTATCAATCACCTAAACCGGCATACATACCCATAACTTTTATTGGTTTGCGGGAACTCATTCATGCCGAGGACTTGAGTCATTTCGTCGATATTCTTGATTGCGTCATCTACGTCTCTTTGTCCAGGTAAGCAAGACACACACTTATTCAGCGAATTCGATACATCCTTAGCAACTGCAGCTAAATTAGCTTCATTATCTATATTATCAGGATTTTTCAAAGCCCTTCTAGCTTCTTTGACTAGTCTTAACGACTTTAGAATCACATCATCAGCGGTCATCAGGACCTTCTTCTGCGTATCTGGTTGATTTGAGGTTGCAGCCACTCCACGAACAGCGTAAGTCAAATCTTTTAGAGCAGATGCTGTTTCTCTAGCTGCACTTCCAGTGTAATTCTCATTTCCTTGTTTAGCAGCAGATAAGAGCTGGGCCATAGCAAATCCTACGTTCTTCGACGTGGCGCCTAGTCGAAGAGCAGTGGTTTCTGTTGTCTCATCAGGTAATGGCCTCAAAGATGCAGCTTCTACGGCTCTATAGAACTCTCCCAATTCGTCTTTCAAACTATTTATCAATTCTTCAGCTGCATCTAATTCTAATCCACCACAAGCTTCCCTAGCACGCGTTACAGCGGATCTCAAATCCGATAGAGAAGCACCCAATTGCTGAGAAGTGTTATTCAGCTGTAGAGCAGAAGCTTGGTCTGTTACTGTTGGTAAAACTGCTCTGGCAGCCTTTACTACAGAAGTACCAGGTTGTAAGAACTGTTCAGATGCATTAATCAGGTTCAACTGTGCTGTAGAATTATCTGGTTGAGCCTGTGTTCCTTTCACTCCAGCTACAAGGTGTGGTATATGCTGTGCCATAGTGTGACACTCTATATTCAATTCCTCTTGACTACTTGGGTTTGTATTATGATGAACGGCACCTGTTGAAGCAGCAATACATTGAGTAGCAGTAGAAGCAGCTTGTTTGGCACAAGCTTCTAGTCTATTGATCAATTTTCTTCTCAAAGCTGGAGTAGCAGCAGCAGTGGTAGCTGCCCTCAATTCTTCAGCAGCTTGACGCAACTGATCTTGCATTTTAGCATCATGTGGACTACTAGCACATTGTCTAGCAGCTTCCACCATTTTAGCAGTAGCATCAGCAAGCACCTTGGCAGCAGCTAATAATCTACGCTGCTGTTCTGAATCAGTCTGCCTTTCTGCTTCACCCTTTATACTTTGAATCAACTGTGCTGTTGCTTGACCAACCACTCTTGCTTGTCTCACCATCTCACCAGCATCTCCAGTGCTAGCAAACAGTTTATCAGTAGCTATTAATATAGTCTCCACTGCTCCTTCCTGGATGGATTCTTTGGCTCGTTCTCCTCTGGTAGCTGTTTTAATGTGGTTCAACAAGTCGCTTAATGTTCTACTGACTTCACTGGCAGCCGCGTTCAGCTCCTTCATAAGATTTTCATCGCTGCATGTCTCATTGCAGACTTCTAATAGACCCTCAACAGCTTTAGTTACTTCACGAACCGCATTCATTAGCTGCGTTTGACAAGCTGGAGAGTGCAAAGTTGGCGCCACGACCTTTGCACAGGCAACTAACTGTGATGTTGCTAAAGCACATTGTGTGGCAGCTGAGATTACACGATTTTGAGTTGCAGAATCCTCACAGGTAGCTGCAATATTCTTTGCTTTCAGCACCAGAGCAGCAGTTGAATTAGCCACAGCCTTAGCCAAGGCTAATAGCATGTCTTGAAGCTCTCGATTAGCATCATTCTCTTCACCTATGGTTGTCAGCACCTGGTGTGAAGCTTCACCAACACGGGATGCAGCATTCAGCAAGTTCTGTCTTGGCTATAGTAAGTAAGGATAAATAATTAGACAAGAAGTTTAATAAATAAAGATATTAAGCAATTTATAGGTGAAAATAAATAAGAACACTGCAGGCAGGATGTATAAGTTTTCCTGAAATATAATTTCATAAAAGGTATTGAAAAGTAATCTGAATTGATTATGCTTGCTATCATATAAATGAGTTAAAAATATTCACTGAAATGGAACTTTCTCTGTATTATTTAATATAGAAAGCAAGTAAAAATGAACAAAAGCTTTCTTCTTTTTTTCACTTGGAACATATTTGTAATGAATATCCAAGTAAAATATTCAGCCAGATAAATGGCTAATATTACATAACTTGCAATTGCTTCCTGGTATAGGAAAAAAAACAAGTTAATCAGTTGTTGGTATTGCACATACTACATTTCAATGAGTTTTTTTAATGTACCTACTAGAATGCACATACCAAACATGATATTATTCCAGTGATTAGCAAACTAATGTTTATTTACTAATGCGTTTTATTATTTTTATTGCATCTAATTGTTGTCTCAGAGTATCTTATAACCAATTATAATTAATGAACGATTTTAAAAAATATGAAAATTGTAAAATTTAGATTGTGAAATTTTATACTTTGACTGCAATGTGCTCATGAGAAACATGTATTCATTATAACAAAAGGAAAAGTAAATATTTTTCTTATTCTTTCAAAATAAAGATAAACTAACTTGCATTATTATAATAAAAAAGTACTATAAATAATGCCAAAGTATTCCAAAAAGCTGCAAGTTAACGTTGTGCAGATAATTGAAAATGAAGCACAAATGGAAATGTACATAGTGGCTTTATAAAAACTGAGATCTGTAATAACTTGCGATATTGTATAATGTTCTCTAGTATTTGTGCTTACGTATCGGTCGTAGGAAGAAATCGCTACATAGAAAGGCTGCATAAAAAGGCACAGTTTAAGATCAGATCTCCAAAATTAATGAAGGCAATATCCAAAATCATGATTAATTTATACTGATTTCAGTTAGTGCTAAATATACCTAAATTTGTTGTAAATATCTATTTACAAATGGTACCTGTAATTTTTCCAATTTTTACCCAATTTTTGTACTTTCAACATATTGTTCTGTTGTATCTTTAGTTTGTACTATAAGCCATAACTACAGAGTAAAGAAAGTTTCATTAAAAAGTATTTGTCAAATGCTTAGGACTATGTATGAGCTTTTTAGGTACATCACTAAAAAATAAAAAATAATTATTATTCAAAATTTAATTTAGAAACTACTGAAAACTTTTGTTTGAAAGAAATTTCATTACTCATAAGTGGAAAATAGATTATTTCTTCTATTTACTGGATACTATTTTCTTAATCTATAATATTCTTAAACTTTTCCTATTCCCCAGAAATCAAGAAAACCATCAAGACAAAGGTCTTATGAAATTAACACAACAGTAGGTACTGTTATGAGTATAAATTGAGTATAAATGCGTATAAATGAGTATAAGTTTCTAAGATATCATCAATTTGAAAACAAATAACTTAATTTAATGAAACATTAAAAATATATTAACTTAATTAACAAAGTATCAATATCTGTATCAGCCTAACTTCTATTTACCAAAAGTTCCTAATATTTTCCAATCAAATCTTATCTGCACCATGCCTAACATCCCAAATAAAGATACCCAGAGGGCAATATTCCATACTAAATATAACATACGACCAAGTTTTCCTGATTTTTAAGAAGCTCATACAAAACATTTCACTGCTTGCCATGAAAGGATCAGGCCATAGTACCTCCTTAGTTTCAGGCTCTGTGGCCTTCAGCAAATCTGAGAATGCGGAGCAGAGCTTCCTCGCGGCATCCAGCAGCTTGTCTCCCGAAGACTCGTCATCCATCAGGGCGGCGATCATTCTGACACCCTTAGTCATCTCCGGGAGATTGGTGGCGATCGTTGTAATAGCTGCACCAACCGCTGTGTGATCCACGTCGTCGGCCGGGCCGGATGTCAGGGTGACCACTTGAGCTGTGGCAGCGTTCATCGCCGCGATCTGGGAGCCAACGTTCTGCTTGTGCGTATCGATCGTCTGTTCGATCCATTTCAACGAGGCTGGATCGGTACCCAGTTCCGGGAGCTGAGCCTTGCAGGATAGCTCGGTCTCCGCGATGTGGATCACCTCGTGACCAGCAGTGATAGTCGACAGTAAGGCACGTTGTGGTTCGGACAGGACGGATGTAACCTTGGTTTGTTGCACCTGATTGTGATGATATTAATTTAGTAGGTAATGGATGGTAGATGAATGAATCTATATGTTATATATTTTGTGATTTTGGAGACTTGAAGGCGTTCCATCTACTTGATCAAAATGTAACAATTGTCTCTAAGAATAAAGATTTTTCTAATACAGTAATATTTTTTTTTATTTTTATCTAATTGTCTGATCAAATAGTGATCAAGCTGAAAGAAAATAGTAGATAAAGTTATAGATACACTTTTTGTAAATAATTATTTTTTGACCGTTGGATTGTATAATAGAAAATAATTGGAAACTAATTAAACTTCAAAGGAAATTTAATAATTGCAAAAATTGACTTAATTACGGTATTTAAATTTTTATAGAAACGCTGCTATAACATGCAAACGCACAATAAATAAATTAAAAATGAGAAAACGAGCAATTTAATATTCTGAATTCATTCTTAACAATTTTTGAAAATTATACACCTTCAAGTTTTCAATTTTTAAATAAAATCAGTGCTATTACGAAATAATCGGTCCTCAGTGGCGGGTATGAAAAGAGAATTAAAAATGCATACTGAACGGAGTTGTATGCTGCATTGAAAAGCAAAATTTTTATGATACGGTATTAATTAATAAATTAATTAAATTTAAAAGAACTAAAAACACTTTCAAATCTCAGTGATTTTCTAATTTTAGTCACGGAAATAAAATTTAAAGAAATTAAATATAGAAGGGATATAACAAAAATTTATTTAATAGCCAATTATAAATAACTGAAAGTTGTATCATCGTGTACCTACTCTGTGTCCGCAATAGAAGGCGCCTAGCATGAAAACAAATTTAACCGTCAATTAGTTGTTTACGAAATTGTTCGATGCAACGAAATCATTTTATTATACTGAATTCTAGAACTTAAATACACCGGCGATATTCGCTGCGATCCATACAAAAATAGTTGAACTAAGCTACTACTATAACAAAGCGGTCCAGCAGCTCCTG